GGCTCTCGGGGCCGGGGCCCGCTAACGGAGCCGGGCCACCGCCCGCCGCTGGGGCCGGGCCCAGGCCACGTCCCCTCTGGCCTCGGTTGCCCGGTTTGTCCAGGGAGCCTGCGCTTCTCGGCCCAGTTCTGCCACGACCCTATTAAAAGGGCCGATCTGGGCCGAATCCTGGGCTTCTGCTTCCCCCGGGGGGATAGGAGGGGGCAGGTTAGTTTGACTTTCAGAAGGTGCTCCAAGTGGGTAGCCACATGCTGGTGGCGGGGAGGGAGCAGCCAAGATTCTCCTGAAAGACCAACCCAAGGCCCCTGCCAGGTGAGCGCAGAGTGCTGGTCCCTGAGGGCATGCCAGAGGCTGGGCGAAGTCAGGTCTGAGGTGGGCCTGGAAGGCTGGCTGGACCGTGGACAGGAGAGGGCAGGCTACGGGACTCGGTCGTCCATCTCTGTGCTGAAGGCCTGCCATGGGCCTGGCCCTGGGCTGGGCCCTCAATCCCTCCCGGGAGTCTTCCAGGAGCTCCCCTCCCCAGAAAGATGTGACACATGGCCCTATAAAAGTGGATGGGGACTTCACGTGGTGACAGTGAGGGCCGCAGGAACCAGTGGAGGGGCATGCACGTGGCACCCGGCTTCATGCAGCACACCTGGCCTGAGGTGCCCACCGGGGCTGGGCACAGACACACAGCAGGGGGAGCTGAGGGGGAGCAGACTCAGGAGAAGGGCTGTGCCAGCTGAGGCCGCCAGGACCCTCCCTGCTGTGCAAATGGGCCCTGGGCACCCACAGTCCACTGGCAGGCAGCTAACGGCCAGGGAGGCAGAGAGACTTCACCCCCCTCCTCCTACAGATCCCCAGGATCTGCAGACAACTTCCCACCCGTGACCCCTCCCTGGGCCCTGGCCCTTGGCTAGAGCCACTAGTTTCTCCAACAGCTGCCCCTCCCCCCAACCCTGAGGCCTCCCAGTTGATATTATCCTTTTGTGAAAGGAAGACTCCTGTAAGTTACCTTCCTGAGGTTGGTATGTGTTGGGGGGGGCATTTTTGTTCTTCATCCAGGGTCAGAGTTCAACCTGAGGGGGCGTGGACACTTCATCTGGGTCAGAGGCAGGTGCAGCCCAGCTGAGTGTCCAGGACGGCATCTACAGCCAACACTGGGGCTCCATCCTTGCCTCTTGGGGCTGACCTGAAGAAGGACACTCCTCAGAGAAGGACACTCTCTCCTGCTTAGGGGACACTGGCTCCTTGGGGAGGGGACTCCCAGTTCCCGGCCTCTCCCCTTGGCACTGCTGCCCCCCACCCTCCCACTGCAGCGCAGCTGTCCCAGCTCTGACTGTGTACCTCCAGGCAGGGCCGTGCCTCCAGGGGGCCCAGTGAGAGGCCCCGACCGTGCCGCTGGGGCCAGATGCCTGACCTGAGGGTCAGCCCCTGATGTCCAATGTCTGTCCATCGCTCACCCTGCACACCTTCCCCCTGGGGCCCCCTGGGACCATCCCACCTACCCACTGCTCTCCCAGGAAGGGTTTCCGTGCCCACCCCCCATCCTGAACTGACAGTGCTATGGAGGAGGTGGAGGACCAGAGGAGAACCGGGCAGGGTGGCAGCCAGTGGCCACTGAGGGGCCGGGAGGGCGCCGTCTTGTGGAACATGTGGCAGCTCCCCAGGTGCTCTGGGGCCTGCTGGCCATTTGAGGAACCGCATCTTGGCTGGGAGGCTGCATCACAGTGGTCCCAAACCTCCAGGCCCATCTCCAAGAGGTCTCCCTGCCTGTTCTGCACGGCGCTCTGGGCCAGCCCCCACTGTGCGTGACCTGCTGTGTGCCCCACACCCCATTTCATGCAGTGCCCAGTCCTGTCTGCACCTTGGCATGCCCCTGCCCTGTGACTGGGGTATCCCTGAAGGCAGGGCCAGCCCCCTCCGCCTCTGGCCTCCGGCAGGGAAAGCAGAGCCCCTCTCCTCAAGAACACCCCCTTCCCAACCCCCAGACAGAATGGCAAGGAGAGGACCGAGCTTGCCAGCCCATGCTGGCCGCTGCTGGGGCCGCTGAGATGCCCCTTGGCCAGATGTTTCCAACAAAAATTGCTACACTGCCCCTGAGGAGGGTGGCCGCCTGCCCCTCCCAGAGCACAAGAGCCTCCGGGCCTGTCACCTTCTGCAGCTGCCAGCCTTCTAGCAGGACTGGTGGGCCGGTGCCCCGGCTGCCTAGTCTCAGCAGCAGCTGCAGGGCGGGGCCTGGGGGCAGCTCCTAGGCCAGATGGCCGCCTGGCCAGCTGCGTCTGGGAAGCCTCTGCCCGCACCACTGCGACAACCTCCTGTCATCCCTGTGACTGGGACTGCACAGGGCCGGAGAGAGGATCCAAGGGCCAAGGGGCGGCCGGCTCCTGAGTACCATCTCCGGGCTGCCTGAGACAGCCCCTCCTCAGGGTGGGGGGTATCAGGACAGGGGGACCTACTCAGACCTTCCGACCTGAGAGGCTCAGGGGCCTCTCTCCCACTCTCCCCTCCCCAAGTGACGTCCCTCCTCTAGCCCATCCCTACCTGGGCCGGCCTCCCAGGCCCAACCCCAGGCTCTTACAGGCAGCGTCCTAATTTGCTTCAGCCTCTGTCTGGCCCCCAAGGAGCACTTCGTCCCACCAGCCAGGCAGGGCAGGCCAGGGCACTCTGCCCACCCCGGGGGCCTCCTCCCGGCCTGCGGCCTGTGTGGGGAGCTGTCGGTCCAGAGCCCCAGCAAGGCCAGCCTCCCCTCCCTGCCTCCGCATGCTCAAGGCCGGGCCTGGGGAGGCCACACTGGGCATTGTGGCACCACAGAGCAGTCAGAATTCAGATGGCAGCACCTAGTGGACGTCCCTCACGGAAGCCACCGCCATGCATTCACTCAAGAGACCTTTCCTGAACCCCACTTTGTGCCCCGACGGCTTCTTAGCCCCGAGGATACATCAGGGGAGCCGAGAGAGAGCACAGTCACACGGCACGGGGAGTGCTCTGGAGAAGGACGAGGAGAAGAGAACGTGGGCTTGGGGGGACCTCGGTGGGGTGGTCAGGAAAGACCACTCTTGGGGTGCTGCTGGAACAGAGACAGGAATGGAGGAGCCAGAGAAGGCCTTCGGAGGAGGAGCCTGAGGTCCTGCTGTGAGCCAGGCCCTGCCCTGAATCTGCCTTTCTGCAGATGAGGATATTAAGGTTCGAGGAGGCTAAGGGTCACGCCTGAGGTCGGGAGGGGGCAGGGGCAGGACTCTGACACAGGCGAGAAGCCACAGGCAGTTCCCTCTGGGTTCCCTCTGACTGGACTGGAAGTCAGCTCCTCCTGCTGTGGGCTGGGTGAGGGGGTGGAGGGAGGGGGTTGACCCTCCTCAGAAGGGTCCCCGAGGTGAAGGGCAATGGAGCCAGGGCCGTCTCAGTGGCTCAGTGCAGTGTGAGTCCAGAGTTCCACATTGAAGTTGCTGGATTTAGGAAATAAAAATACAGGACACAGTCAAATTTGAACTTCAGATAAACAAGGCATAATTTTTTAGTGTAAGAATGTGGCTTTCCTTCCCACACAGACTGTGGTGGGCCCCAGGCCCTCTGGCCGCTCCTCAGGCCCCCAACCCACCAGGCTTGAACAGGATTCCTGGGTGGCGACCCCCCATCTCACAGCCAGCACTCCCACCTCTGGAGCATCAAGGAGCACGGCTGGAGGGCTCCCCCCTCCTCCCGGTGCTTCCTCTGCCTGCATATACCAGGCCGGCTGGTGTCCCATCCTTTGTAATCCAGGCCCTCCCCCAGTGCCACTCCCGCCACTAATCAAGGCCTCCTTTCTACCCAACCTCTCCTGGCTGGGGCTCCCCCTCCCCAGACCATCCTGCCTCCGGGGCTGCCGGACATGCAGGTGGGAACTCAGGAGACTGCTGGGATTCTAGCTTACTTACTGCCTGCTGTGTGGCGGTAGGCACCTTACCTAACCTGCCCACCAAAGCAGGTGTGATAACAAGAGCATCTAACTAACGGGACTGTTGGAAAGATAGCTGAGCAGCGGTCCAGAGTGCCTCAGTCCTGCTCCGTCAAGGGCAGCGCCTTGCCTCCTGCCCCTGGGCAAGACTCGCAGCCAGCAATACACCCCCCTTGGGGGCCCCAACTTCTCCAAAATCGTTGCTTTCCATTTCTCTTGGGCTATGTCCTTCTCCCTGCAGACCTAGGTGTCCCCTCACCCCTTCATGGTGCTCTTGCACCTGAAATACCCTGTCCCCAGCTTGTCAACCCTGCCCCTCCACGGTGTCTCCCCCTCCCTGAACACTTTTCCACCTGCTCTGGGCTCTGGAGGCGCTTGGGGGCCCTTCTATCACAGCGTTTATCCCCCCACCCCGCTGTGTCCCTGAGACACTAGGACACAGCTCTGCGTGCCTGGCCCCCAGCAAACGCTGAGCTAGGGTCCGCTGAGAGGGTGACAGTCCCCTGTTCTGGACTCCAAGGTCAGGACCCCGCTTGAGTGTTCGGAAGAGGGTCCCAGCTAAATTAACTTAAATTCAAAAAGAGGCTTTCAACCAAGAAGGGGATGCCACCTTTTCAAAATTTAAGACCTCCCTCTCACGCACCCCTTCTTCCATCCCAAGGCCAGCGCCCCGCGAGGTGGCAGGAGGCCGTGATCGCAGCTTCGCCCTTGGGTGATTGCCCCAGCGCCGGCTGGAAGAGGAGCTGGTCCTCAGACAGGGTCCCTTAGCAGACGGGCGCAGTTGGGACCCCCTGGGGGTACACCGAGGCCGAGGCGACAAGTATCGCGAGAGAGCCCCCTTCCTCGCCGCGCCCCGAATCCCCTCCCACCCCAGTGCCCCAGCTGGCGGCGCGCGGGGCCCAGCCGGGAGGGGCGGACAGGGAAGGGGCGGCAAGGGTGACCTCAGCGGTTCCGCCGCTCCGGGAAGTCGCCTCGGCCCGCCCCCTCCAGCCCCCGCCCCGAGTTTCGCTCTCTCCGGGGCGGGGCGAGCGGCGGGCGGTGCCGGGCCG